TCGGCTGCCCGGCCGGCCGGCAGAGACCGCTACAGTGTCCTGGTTGCAGCAACCGGCGGCTTAGCAACACATTCCCGGCGCTAATCCACGAGCGTGCCGAGATCAATGAGAGTTGTTACGGATGCGGCAGGATCAACTTCCACAAGTACAGCCACAAGCACGACAACCTCAAGAACTCGGCGGTCTACCGGATGGTGCACGGCCTGGACGACCAGCCCAGCCTCCCCGTCACGGAGAGGCCTGAGAAGATGAAGGCCATCGACGACTACTACCAGGCGGCGGCCAGGGTGAGTAGCTAGTGTGGTAGGATGAGGAGCTTTCTCCGCATGCCTGGCAGTGTGTAGGCGTTCGCACGAAAACCCCTACACCGACGTCCAGTTGCCTTTCAACAGAGCTGCCCGACCGTTCGACCACGCACACCCCCCTGCTTTGGCATAGCAAGACGGACAGATTAGCCTATTGGGCATGAGGTAACAAAGTTCTCTTCTCTTTCCAGCAATCGGCTACTCCTTCACCCATGTGCGAGCTGGAGCCGGTACCAAAGGAGGTCAAGCCCGGAACAGTGTCATAGAAGATGCTGAGCTAAGTGTAATATTACACTACTGTTGCGATCATATTGAACACAGGGAGTCACAAAAAATATACTTTGCATGAGTGATATTTCAAACGTTCATTCTCCTACAGGGAGGGTCAGGGAAAGGTCAGAAATTGTGGCAGAGATTTTGGCCACTCCTTCCTTGATAAAATTGCAAGGGGTTTGGTGGTTAGTTGTGTACTCTTCCATAACAAACATACTATTTTTACTGTCCTGAGTCAATGTTGTTAAAATGTTTGTGAAAACCAGTAAACTGCAGTTCAACATTTATCATTATTACCAATGATTACGTAAAAAAAGATCAATAAAGTGGATAGTTTATCCAAATAAATATTATGGTCTTTTATAAATGACAAAACACATAGAATGCAAAACCATTTTTTAATGGTAGATTCTGAAATGAAAACAGGAAGATATATTGCATGAAACAACGAAAACAGGAGAACAGTGGGCTGGCATGTTTACCATGACAATTATGAGCTATAAATAATTTAATGATGATTTTGAAAAGAAAATGAGTATTAGCTGGAAATTTTTTAAGTCTAATCAATGCATACACATTCCTTTATCAGACACCAATTCCCTACTAACCAATATATCCTACTTAACACTGAATCTTATAAGTAGTCAACAAGAAGAAATAAATAGTTATGAAAGAACTTAAAACAGGAAATATGCAATGTCTACAACTGCTTTAAACCTGGTGGATATTTGATAAAAGTAAGATTTTTTTTAGATTGAGAACTACAAACCAAATAACCTTGGCACATTTAAAGAAATTACATAAACACAATCAATGTAAAATAAAAATGTGGAAGTTGGATTACAAGACTACAGAGATCATACAATCACAATCATCACAACTTTCCTTCAAGCCTTCAGAATAAATGACAAAATTAATGAATGGTATGTGGTTTGACTTTGGCATGCTCGGGTTTATTTTTCAAGATATTAAAAATATTTACATTTCAATGGAGGTGATAAAAGTTTTCACTGGATTTTACAGGATGAATAAAATAAGTACAAAAAAATTAGAACATATAATTTTATGAGTGGATAGACATTAATTTGGACCAAGCTTTGTACGTAATTTATGAGTCATCAAATGTCATTCTGCCTTCACCATGAACTTTAAGATACCTACGATATGCTTTATGTTTAGCACTCTCTGCTAAAACCTTTTTCATTTCTTCCTCCTTTTCTTGATGCCAAAGATCATAATTTTCTTTTACCCATAGACCTTTTTTCAGATAATCTTTCTTATCTGCTTCTTCAACTGCATCAAACTGGTACTGACCAAGTTTCATATGCTTTCTAATAAGGTAGAGCTTTTGTTCCTCTCCATAGGGTTCTTTCTTAATATTAAATCTCCATACCCAAGTAGCATACCAAAGAAAGTACAAGGATATAGTATAAGGGAGCAATACTAATTGGATCCACAGAATATCGCTAATTTTTGGTTTAGCATATCCACCACGAATGTCCATGTTTTCCTCAAGAACTTTTCGAATTATACGTTCTGTTTCCTCCTTGATTTCCTGCTTGTTTTTCTTTTTACCCCCTTTCTTAGGGTTAGGATTTTCATCATATGTACCACGTTCTCTGGCAACATCCAAAGCACGATTGCGATATTTGGGCTGTTGCATAAAATAATTTATGGCTATTTCGTATCGCTGATTTGCACTATAGTACTGGAAAGCCGATATGACCGATATAGTAACAATCAATACAATTCGGACATCAACTTTGGGAGCAACTCGGTTCCTGTAGTAACGATAGTAATTTCTGTAGTAGTCTTCAGGGTTGTCCAGCATGTAGTCATAGTCCAGACGAGCTTCATCATCTTTAAGAATTTCGTATGCTGTAGCAATTTCCTTAAATCTTGTTTCAGCTTCTGCTTTGCTTTCCGGAGTGCGATGCATATCAGGATGGAATTTTCTTGCCAAAGCTCTGTACTTTTTAGAAATTTCTTGTTTTCCTGTTTCTCGTGTAACTCCAAGAACATCATAGCAGTTTTCTTTACCACAATAAATGCCTTCAAATAATGCTTCACTGGTTGAAAATTGAACAGAAATCACAGCCGCAAGTAGAAACCACTTCAGAAGTGTGACATTCATGTTGAGCCCCATGATATTGACGTGATTGGTCTATAAGCAAGTTATTTTTCCACTTCAATAGCTCACACCGTCAGAGATAACTCCAAATCTAGAAAGAAAGAGGATATTCAAATTAAAATCATTTCACAAGTTAGTGCAGAAGTTAAAAATTTAAGATAGAAAAAAATTGAGGACAGGAGTTGATTTTATTCTATGTTTTTTAACGTTAACTTTCACTCCTTCTAGAGCACAACACAAAAACTTGAGCCGTATCAAATCAAGGAAGGAAAGCAGCAAACCAAATGGAGCAGAACCTTCACACTTCAGTGATCCAATTGACAGAACGTTACACAATACTAGTGATATAAATTCACTTTTACTCTAAACTGCAATAAGACTGTGGCTTTTTCATGAAACAAAAAACTTAACATTTAATGTTTAAATAATGAAACTGATTTGTTTCTTTTACAAAAAACAAAAATATAAGAAAATTTTAAAGGGGAATCGCTGATTGTTGACATGTATTTAAAATTACTTTATAAGACTGTGCTGAAAACTTGATTTGAGTTTAGAATTTTATTGACAAAAAGCAACAGTTCTCTGGAACGTTTAGAATTAGAACAAGTTGGCGTAACAGCAGGAGATCAGAGAGCATCTGGAGGGGGTTTTAAGAGGCTCATTAAAGAAAGATTTTTATGTTACAAAACTAAACTATCGCATACGCTTAAATTCTCTTCATAAAATTCTAATTGAAGGTCATAGGAATTTTCTCTACAAAATTGTGTAAAGTAGAACACAGCCACATCACTGACATCTTACTTCACACAACGAATCTCTACGAATGTTTCGGCAATTTATTTGATTCTTACCATTTCACTACCTGCATCAGGTAAGCTGACCTTGGAAAAAACGAATTAAACTGACAAACTAACTTTAAAAGCTCGAACTGTTAACGAAGTTTGACGGCTGCTCTAACCCTACCGGAGTCACCGGTTTCTCGTCGTGTCGACTGCTAGAACACAAGTGCCGTGCCGTGGCAAGTCCTCCCCGGTG